TATATTGGTTCTTCCTACCCAGGAGTATGGAGCATCTCTCCATTTTCTAATCCTCTTCATTCTCCTTTTTCAGAGTACTAGAATTTTCACTGTAGAGGTCTTTTACATCCTTTGTTAGATTGATTCCTAGGTATTTTATTTTTTTGGATGCTGTTGTAAAAGGTATTATTTCTCTGATTACTCTCACAGTGAGTTTGTTATATGTGTACAGGAAGGCTATTGATTTTTGAGTGTTGACTTTGTTACCAGCTACGTTACTGAATTTGCTTATTAAATATAGAAGTCTTTTGGTGGAGTTTTTAGGGTCTTTTAAGTAGAGTGTCATGTCATCTGCAAAAGGTAGTTTAACTTCCTTTCTTCATTCCTTTTATTTCTTTCTCTTATCTAATTGCTCCAGCTAAAATTTCCAGGGGTATATTGAATGAGTGAAGACTGGACATTCTTGTCTTGTTCCTGATTTTAAAGTGAAAGCTTTCAGTTTTTGTCCGGTTAGTATGATGTTGGCTGTTGGTTTGTTACAGATGGCTTTTATCAGATGGAGATAGAGACTATCTATTCTAATTTTCTATAGGGTTTTTATCATGAATGGGTGCTGGACTTTGTCAAAAGCTTTTTCTGCACCTATTAAGATGATCATATGATTTTTGTCCTTGGCTCTGTTAATATGGTGTATTACACTTACGAATTTATATATATTGAACCATCTCTGCATCCCTGGGATGAATCCCACTTGATCATGATATACAATCTTTTTAACACTTTGCTGCAGTCTGTTTGCCAGTATCGTATTGAGGATGATTGCATCATTGTTCATTAGGGAGATTGGCTTGTAATTCCCTTTCTTAGTTGGGTCCTTCTCTAATTTTGGAATCAGAGTAATGCTTGCTTCCAGGAATGAATTTGGGAGTATTGCTTCCCTTTCAATTCCATTAATGAGTTTGAGAAGTAGTGGTGTTAGATCGTCATTAAATTTCTTGTAGAATTCAGCAGTGAATCCATCAGGTCCTGAGCTTTTCTTTGTTGATAGGTTTTTAATTACAACTTTGATTTCATTTATTTACATTGGATTATTTAGGATTTTTATATAGATTCAGCTTTGGTAATTTATATGTCTAAGACTCTGTCCATTTTGTCTTTATTTTCCATCATATTAGAATACAGCTGGGATTTACTTTTTTAAAAAAGTTATTTCTTTAATGATAATAAAATATTTTTCAACTCATATCCTCCTTGCACATTGTATCATAACTACTAACGTGTGCTGCCATATATTCTTTCATCTGTTCCATTGCAAGTGTATACTATAAGAGAAATGAAGAGTACCAAGAAATTATACTACATATCATACTCTGTTTATTGAAGGGAATAAAACAAAACAATAAAATGAAATAAAGCAGTGAGAACAGTATTGGATTTCAAAAACAAGACAGAAGGAAATCCCCCATAGTTGCTATATTACATATTGTTGTCCTCTAAACATATGCTCAGACTACCAGCATTAGATTTGCAAAGTCAATGAAACAATACAAGCATTAAGTTGTTTTTGTACCTCAGTTGCTGTCATCGCAGCCTGTGTTCCTTGGAATCAGCTGGTTGCCTGGGAGTGCACAGAGGAAGGGCTTTTCTTGTCTCCCAGCCTGCACAGTGGCTGGCTCATTGGAAGGGCGGGTTGACTTCTTGGTTCTGCTCCCGGCACATGACTATATTGTATTCTTAATATTAAAATACTGTTTTTTATTTTTGTTTTTGACTTTTTGAGACAAGGTCTCCCTATGGAGTCCAAGCTGGCTGTTATGGTTTGTGTTTGCATGTCCTCTCTAAAGCCTCATATGGTCATGGGGATGCATTTTTTAAGGTGGCTGAGTCTAGCATTTGTGATTGGTTCATTGTCTAGTGCCAGGATTGGCAGTGTAAGTGCTGTACCCACTGGGGGGCAGGTAACTGGTACACAGTGTAAGGAAGGGAAGAAGGCATATTCTTGTCTCCTTTGGTACCTGCTGCTGTCATGAATGACTATCCCTATGCCATGCCATCTCCCTTGGAGACAGCTGATTATGGACTGAAACATCCATAACCTGTAAGCTAAATAAACATTTCCTTCCTTCATTTTAGGCATCAAATATTTTGTATCAACAATGAGAGAAAAGTAACCAACACAGTGACTTTGAACTTGCTATGTAGTCCTGGCTGGCCTCAAACTTGAGGCAATCCTTTTGCCTCAGCCTCCGAAGTGCTGCCATATATTCTTTCATCTGTTCATTGCAAGTGTATACTATAAGAGAAATGAAAAGTACCAAGAAATTATATTACATATTATACTCTTATTTATTTATTGAAAGGAATAAAAACAATAAAATGAGATTACACTATGCCTGGCCTAAAAATACTAAGAAATTGTACTACATATTTTCTACATATTATAGTATAGTTATGTATAATTAGTTACATATATTATAAATAATTAATATTAGGGTAAAATTATTAAATGATAGAATTTTTCTTGGTTTATGTAATTTTGAATGCTTTGAGTTGTTTTCAGGAGTAATTTCATCATTACTGATTTTACCTTGTAACCTGTTTGATGAATAACTATATTCTTGTAATTGAAATTTTTTCACTATTTTCTTAGTGGCCCTGTACATGCATTGTCAGTTTTAAATCCAGATTGTTGCTGGGCATGCTGGCACACACTTGTAATCCTAGCACTGGGGAGGCTGAGGCAGGAAGATTGCTGTGAGTTTAAGGCCAACTTGGGCTACATAGTGAGTTCAAGACCAGCTTGGATTACAACTTTTTGTTGTTGTTGTTGTTGTTACTGGGGATTGAACTCATGACCTCACACTTGCCAGGCAGGTGCTTGTGCTGCTGAGCTAAATCTCCGGCCCAAGACCAGTTTGAATTACATAGTAAACCTTGTCTCAAAAAAAAATTCAAATTGTCTTTTAGAATGGCTACCTACATTTTTGTCTGCTTAAAACTAGATAAGCACATTAAAACATGCTAGGGGGAAAAAGGTGATATGTAGTGCATATTGACTATAATGTACAACTGATGTTTTTAATAAGGGCAAAAGAATCAATTGTATAGTAAATGAATGAAAATTTCTGGCTGGGAGTGGTGGCACATGCCTGTAATCCTAGTACTTGAGAGGCAGATGCAGGAGAATCAAGCTAAGCCTGGGCTAGCTACATAGTGAGACCATGTGTCAAAAAAAATTTTTTTTCTTATTTTATCTTTAAATTAAAAGTATGTGTATATAGAAATGTATTTTGTTCTTGCTAGCGTCATTGATAAGAAACCCCTTTTCCTGGTACATGAGGCTGTCCTGATGATTCTGTGTGTGATTGTTAGATATTTTGTATTGGTTCACTTTTGCTTTGTAATAAACCATCGCAAAATTTGGTAGCATATAACAATTGTCATTTATTTTATTCACTATTCTTCAGTTTGCATTGTCTGTTCTTCCCATCTAGACAGGTTTAGATTATTTTGAGATTACCTGGACTGGATTCTCTCATGAATCTGTGGTTACCTACTGGCTAAATGCTTTGGACAAATTTCTATGATGACCAGTGGTAACCCATGCCTTTCTATAGTTTTTTTCTGGTGTATGTCTGTGTGTGGCAACTTAATTTGCTTTTTACTAGTAGGATATTCAAAGGTGAAGAAATTTAAGATCCCTATTCAGCTGGTTTGGAGTTATCTCAGAGTTTATCCTGGGTAGACCTGAGTCAATTAGCTGAGTCTCTATATAGTTCAGAGATGGAAGACTAGAAGTTGCCATGTGTTATTAAGCAGAACTGTTTGGGTACCTGGGAACAGAATGCAGGTTCAGCTGACAGCAAGAAAGTGACCTTAGTTCTGCAACTGCAAGAAACTGTTTTCTGCTGATAACCATGTGAATTGGGAAGAGGGCTAAGTACCAGAAAGAAAATCAGTCTAGTTGATTTTCCTTGAGTGGAATGTTAGGAGACTCAGAGTCTGTTCAGACTTAACATCCATTGAAACTAAGATAATAAAAAATATATGCTGGTCAGGCCTCTGAGTTTGTGATAATCTGTTGTGCAGCAATATAAAACGAATGAGATAGTGTAGGATTCCAGCACTTTTGTCTGGCTGTTGTCTGTAGCAATTGTGGAAACTACCACATCACTCACAATGTTCAGCACACAAACTCAAGACTCTTTATGTGATGGTGGCGGCCACAGTGTTCTCAGTAGCAACAAGAGGGTAAACCCCTCTGTCTAACTGCTTTTCAGGTCCCTGTTGGTCTCATATGAGAGCAGTCATTCTCAACCATGAAACCATTCGTTTCTCTCCCAGGCAATATTTGGCAGCGCGGCAATTTTAGTTCTCACAACTGTGGGATAAGGAGAGATGCTACTTGCTATATAGTATGTATAGGCCAAGATTGTATAATTCTTAGTCACAAAATTTTCTTGGTTTTTTAAAAGTTTTATATTTTACATTTAGGTCTATTAATCTCCTTTGAGGTTTTTTTTTCCTTAATTAGTTGCAAATTTTTATCAGCTTTTTTTTTAAGTTATAGGAATGACCAATTGGTCCAATGCTATTTGTTTGAAAAAGACTATCATCAAAAATCATTTCACTGGGGCTGGGGATTTAGCTCACCGGCTTAAGTGCCTGCCTTGCAAGCAGGCAGTCATGAGTTCGATCACCGGTACCAATAAAAAGGAAAAAGACAAAAAAAAAAAATTATTTCACTGTATTTTGTGTAAGGATCTGTTTATGGACACTGTTGTGCTTTGTTTTCTTACATGTCTGTCCTATCAATAACATACTACCTTGTTTCCTGTTGTATGATTTTAGTTAAGTCCCCAAATCAGGCAGTTGATACTTTTTTTGGTCTTTTTCCTTTTTATTGGTACCAGGGATCGAACTCACGACTGCCTGCTTGCAAGGCAGGTGCTTAAGGCAGTTGATTCTTGCAACTTTGTCCTTTTTTAGAATTGTTGTAGCTACTGGTTTTTACTTTTCTAGTACTCACTTCCACAGCACATATACCAAAAAAATTGGAACGATTCAGAGAAGTTTATCGTAGCCCCTGCACAAGGATGATGCGCAGATTCATGAAGTGTTTTTTACTTTTTGTGTACATCTTATTTTCAAAAATTTTAGTTGAGATTTAAGTGTGCTTTAAACTGACATGTTTGAGAATTGACGTTTGACTGTGTTGTCTTCCCTTCCATAAACGTGATATGTTTATCCATTTACTTAGGCTGTCTTTGGTATTTTTATTGACATTATCTTCATCATCTGCATTCTGTGTGTGTTAATATGTAACTACTTTAATTTTTTAGGAAGCTATAGTAGGTACTGTTGTCATTTTAACTTTCATTGTTGGTTGGTTTCATTAACATTTGACTTTTTGTTTAACAACTGTATATCCTATGAGTCCTTTGAGATTTTTCTAAGTGCAGACCATCATGTCATCTGTAAATAGTACTGCTTTATATTTCTTTTTGACATGTTTTCTTTTTGTTATCTATTCTTGCCTAATTTCACCAGCTAGAACTGCACATCCTATGTTTGGTGAGAGTAGCAAATACAAACATGCTTCTCTTATTTCCACTGTCAGAAGGAAAACCTTTAGTCTTTAATCATTGGTATGGTGCTGGTTCTAGTTATTTGGTAGATGGTCTTTATCAAGCTGAGAAAGTTCCTTTTTATTCCTAGTTTACTGAGTTTACTTTTTTGAAACAAGATCTTGTTAAGTAGTATAGGCTGGCCTCGAACTCTGTATGTAGCCCAGACTGGCATCAAATTCAATATTCTCCAGCTTTAGCTTTCCAGGTATACTGAGTTTTTATGATGAATATGTATTGAATTTGTTTTAATCTGCATTTGTTTGAGGAGTATCTTTTCATATACTTATTGGCCATTTTCCTTCATGAATTCTGTTATTTTAGTATTCCCTTTCTCCCTTTCCTTTCTTTTTATCTTTTTCTTTGTTTTCTCTTTTCTTTTTTCTTTCTGTCTTTCTTTCTTGGCGGTACTATAAATTGAACCAGGGCCTTTATATTGAGCTGCATCTCCAGCCCGTTTTAGTTTTTATTTTTTAGACAGGGTCTTGATAACTCTTGGAGTTACCCATGTTGCTTTGATTCTCCTGCCTCAGTGCCTTAAGAGTTCCAAAATTACAGGCATACACCACCATGCCCAACTTTATATTTTTATAAAGCTATTTGTAGCAGTTACAAACTTCAGAAAAATTATGAGTACTATACATAGAACTTCCTTTTAATGCATACATTAGTGTGCATGCCTTGTAATTAAGGACATTTGGCTGTGGTATGACTTGGATGAGTGTCTCTCAAAGAAGTATGAAAGTAACTTGCACGAGTTAAAGGCGTGGTCCCCAATGTAGTTCTTTTGGGAGGTGTTGTAATCTTGAAGTAGTGGAGCCTTATGAATGGTCCTTAGGTCACTGGGGAAATGCCATTGAAGGGAATTGTGGGACCTCATTCTCTAGTCTGCTTCCTTGTTTGAGATATGATGGTGTATTGCTGTTGTGACATGCTGTCCTCTCCAAAGGCGAATGGGACTACTTGATCTTAGACTTGAACCTTCAGGACCATGGGCCTAAATAAATCTCTCCATAAGTAGCTCATTTCAGGTGTTTTGTTGTTGTAACTTAGAGCCAACAGACATTCTACAGGTACTCAATACAGTTACCATATACCAGAAAGTTACATTGAAATATTATTGGTTTAATCTTCAGGTTAAAGTATGTGTTATAGTTTGTGTCAGGGTGCCCCCCAAGTCTCACATAGTCATGGAGGCTACAGAATCTAGCATGTGTGATTGGTTTGTTGTCTAGTGCTGAGATTGGTTGTGTGAGTGCTGCACCCTTCCCCCAGGGATGGATAAGCAGCATACAGTACAGGGGAGGGAAGGAAGTGTGCTTTTTCCTTTTTTACCCTTTTGCTCTTGCTGTTTGCAACCACCATGAACAGTTGACCCTCAGCCACATCACCCTGCCTTGGAGCCAGCTGAGTATGGACTGAGACCTCCAAAAACTGTAAGCTACATAAACCTTTTCTTGCTTCACTTTGGGCATTAGGTATTTTGTCTCAACAATGAGAGAAAAGTAACCAAGACAGTGTGTGTAATTATTTTTAGGTGTATGTCTTTCACACCTGAAGAATCAGGTTTAGAATTTTGTGGTGCAAGTAGTTGCCTTATATATTTGGTCTCTTGGTACATAACACTTCTTTTTTCCATGGCTTTTATGACCTTGGCTTTTTTGAAGATTACAGACCAATTATTTTACAGACTATTTATCAGATTGCATTTTCTTATGATTAAATTCAGCTTCCACATCTTTGTCAGGTATATTAACGAAGTGAGACTATGTTCTTTAGGGCATTCTTTCATGTAGCTTTATTATTCAGTTTGTCTTGTTACTAATGAAGTTTACCTTGATCACATACTAAAATGGGAACTAGCAACTGCAGCTTTCATCACTATAAAGGTCTTCTTTATCTTTTAACTTAATAATTACTTACGAGTAGGGACTTTGAAGCTCTTTGCTATCTCATTCTGCCTCCTAAATTTCTTATTTTTTTAATTTTATTTTTTGTAGTACAGAGATTGAATCCTGAATGCTTATTATGGCTTGCATTATTTTTTGATGAAGGAGAAGAGGAAGTAAAATATAAGTGTATATTATCTTTCATGCACAAAGAAACATAAATTAAACAAGCAACTACTGAAATTGGCTACCTGGCAGGGACAGGTAGCAATAGAATGGAGAGGTAGAGGACAGAGATGGTGTTGGAGGTGGTAGTATCCCTTTCTTTAAGTGTAAACCTTCTGTACAATTTTGACTTTTATAACCATGTTAGGTTTCACATGCTACAAAGTGAATCAAATAATGTAGACAAAGAATAAAAAATAAAAACAGGTTATAAACAGAAGAAAGGAAGTGCAATTCTATTTTCAACTATAAAATTCCTCTTGATAATGCCATCACATTGATTTCATTTTCTCACTGAAGATATACCTAAGTCTTTCCTGGGTGGTTACCAGCCATCCTCGTTTTCCCAGACTGATGAATTTCGTGGGTGAAGACTTTTAACTAACTCTGGAAAGTACCCGGCTCACTGAGCCAGTTAGTCACCCTTTTGCCCTTTTGGCATTTATGTGCACATTTTCTAAACAAGACATCTGTGTAGAGCACATTCAAGAACAGTTGCTTTAGCCAGGTGTGGTGGCGTACTCCTATAATCCCAGTGCTTAGGAGACCAGTCTGGGCTACATAGTGAGTTCAAGGCCAGCCTGAACTGCATAGTGAGACTGTGTCTTGAAATAAGTAAGTAAATAAGGGATTTGACTTAGAATTCCGTAAGATAGTATTATTACACTCTGCAGAACTACTTCTGAGAAGCATGATGTCATTCTGATTTCTTTATATATGGTGTGTTCTTTCTGACTAGATATTTTTTTATCCTTTTTATCTTGTATTTTTTATCTTGTATTTGGAATTCATGATATGGTCTTCTTTCATTATTCTGAGTCTTTTTGCCTTAATGAAACCTGAAAATTCAGGTCTTTCTATTTTTTTTTTTTTTTTTGGTCTTTTTCGTTTTTATCGGTACCAGGGATCGAACTCACGACTGCCTGCTTGCAAGGCAGGCGCTTATGGCACTGAGCTAAATCCCCAGCCCCTGGTCTTTCTATTTTATATTATTTCATTTTCAGATTTCTCTTTATGGACCTTCTCCTTGTGTGGTACTTTGCTCATGAAGCCTTCTCCCCCTTTCTTTTAATCAATTCTCTGAGAAAAACCCTATTTCTTGTTTCAGGTATCCTCTTTTAGTTTCTCTTTGGTTTTGTGTGAAAGGGTCTTGCTATAGTTCAGGCTGGCCCTGAACTCATATAACCCAGGATGGCCTTAAACTTGGGGTGATCCTCCTGCCTCAGCCTCCAGAGTGCTGGGATTTACAGGCATGTGCCAGCATACCCAGCTTTTAGTTTCTAGCAGATTGCATATGTTTGCTTGTTTATCTATTTTTTAAAAATTAGCACACTTCTTATGGCTTATTTTGGGACATTTTCACAAAGTTTATTGTGACATAAACCTCTTTCAGTTCTTCACTTTTGTTTGGGTTACCGTTTATCTAACAGATTTTTTTGTTATTGTTGTTGGTATTTTTCTTTGAAACACTGTCTTGCTATGTAGTTTTGGTTGGCCTGAACTCATTACATTATCTAGGCTGGCCTTGAACTTGTGTGATCCTCCCACCTCAGCCTTCCTAATGCTAGGACATGTAATAATTTCGGCCAGATAGCTGACAGTCTTTGGTGGGTCATTCATAGTGTTAATAGGTGGTTCATTTAGAAATGGCTTGCCAGCCAAACATATTCCAGGTCCTTTCCTCAAGGAACTGAATGTACAGCCAAAAAACAATGCTTAAAGTTTATTTGAAAAACGAAAGGTGAAAGGGTAAGGGAAAAACTGGCTTTGCAGTGTGAACTTGGATTAAACAAAAGAGAAAAAGATCAAAAAGTACAGCCACAGTGTGGTGGCGCACATCTGTAATCCCAGCACTTGGGAGACTGAGGCAGAAGGATCATTGCCAGTTCAGGCCAGCCTGGGCCACACAGTGAGTTTCAAGCCAGCCTGAACTGTATAATGAGACCCCGTCTCAATGAATGAATGGGTGAATGTACACCCTGAGTCTGGGAGACTCAGGCTGGGCTACAGTGAAAAGTTCATGACAGTGGGCCCCTCTTGGAACCTGTGTCCTCATATATCATCCACATCTTGTGGGAAGCCACATGAAGTTCTGTATGCAGGATCTTGGGAATTATTTGATGCTGTACTGGGCTCTTGGAATTGACAGGTTTGGCTTATTTCTCCAGCCAGCTTTGCCACACTGTACCTTCTACTTCATTTCCCCTACAGACATAAATCCCCATAGTTCTTTGTAGGGTGCAGGAGTAGAGTTTGTGTTCTGTAGCTTCTTTAAGCTAAAAGGAGCTGTATACCTTACCTACTGGGGATTATATGCTCTCCAGTACGTTGGCATGCTGTGCCTCTTTGGCTGAGTTCAGGAAAGAAAAACCTGGCAAGAAATGAGAAAA